TATTTATGTTCATTTTATACTTACAATAATTGTTACAGTGATGAGTCGCGCTGTGGTGGGGGGATTCTTTACTCAGGGCAGTTACAATGAGCTGCGCAAATTTGTTATAAATTACATACACACTATCGCGTTTGAAGGAAACCAAGAAGAAAGAGCTTATGATATTTGTATGCGATCGAAGTCCATCCAGGGTTGAAAAATTAATCGTTACTTGTTCTTTCTTGAAGTTAACCCTGAAAAAACTTTGTCCAACGGCAAATGATGACACGGTAATAACAGAAAATCGATTCGTAAAGATCGATTAGCATTATTAAACTTTCCTCTCGAGGACATTCGATCTTTCTAAACTTTCTTACAAACATAAATATCATTTTGTCACATAACCTTTATTCGATTCCCATGGAGAGCAAATATCACAAGACCACAGCGGTATAATCGATCGTTAACAAATCTTTGGTTATTCCATCGCGTTATGCTCATCCAAATGCCTCAAATTTCAAGGAAAATCGACATTTCCCTTGAAAGTTGGAACATTTGTTAGCGAGAATAACGTTATCGATTTGTCGTCTAGCGAGAGGAGAATCATGAGAACACGCATGCGTCATTGCACGTGCTTACGACGTAGAGACGAAAAAAAGCGTTACACATTAATTACAACCATGATTCTTTAATCATGGAAGCCATCAAGAAACACGAATGTATCGCGATTTTCTTTTTCTCTTTTACGTAATTCTTTTTTTTTTTGTAATTTTTTCATAATTTCTTCGTAATTTTCTCATATTCTTTTCCCATTTCTTTATTCTTAATTCTTTCGTAAATCGAAAGGTATGATGAGGTAGTGGAAAGAATATACGAATGCGAAGAGAAAAATGAAAATAATAGAGAGAGAAAAAAAAGAAAAAGATGAAATAATAAACGATTGAATACATTTTCATCTACGAGATAATAATATCATACCTTTCATAGCCTAATTCTCGCTATTGATCACACGTTATTGACATCTTTCTCTCAAAAACTGCATCTTCGAATTTTTAACGATACATTTTTGTTACTTGTTCCGTTCGTTCATTTATAATATATGTATGTACAATAGCGTATGGCGTAATCAACCACAGTCTTGGTAATACAATAGTTTCATGAGAAAACTAAAAATGCATTCTCGACCGATATCTATTTCTCGCACGATATTGTTTTATTTCAGGATGTGTTTCGTACAATTTTCGCTCCCTTGAACCACGCCATCATCCCATTGTCGTTTTCGAAGCGGCAATGACACTAACCTGATATCGATCGAGCGTGCACCGTTTCATATCGTCAATATGTTAACGATGCGGCGTAGATAAATGCTTTTTCGAAGGGATATTCAAATGCGAGAAGAGAGTGCGTAGAGTAAAGGACGAGCAGCGACAAATATTGTGTAAGGAAAGCAATCGAATCAGAATATAAAAAGAGGAAATATTCATGGCCATAATAATATTATAGATCTATAAAATTGTAATAACAATGTGAGTGCGTGAGTGTTTGTTCGTCTGTATGCCTGCCTATCTGTCTATCTTCGTTTCATTCGTATAGACGAAAGAATTATACGCGCGAGTAAAATTACGTGCTCTTTCTGTATGCGTCTATGGATGTATATATATAAGTTGGTATGTCGTGTGTGTATGTGTGTGTGCGCGCGTGTGTATATGTTAATGAACTCGAACGGGAAAAAATAATATTTAGTGTATAAGCGAAAGAATACATACCTTAGTATAGGTTTATAAAATTATGTGCTAAGGTACCGCTGCGCTATACCGACGAGTCTTTCTTCGACTATCATTCAAAAGAAAGAAAAAAAAAAAAAAAAAAAAAAAAAAAAAAAAAAAAAAAAAAAAAAGTCGCGATTCATCCGTACTATGCGAATGCACTTGTAGCATAGCTTCGTTTGTTCGTTTATTCATTTGTTCGTTTATTCGTTCATTGAACGGCGTAACAGCGCTTAAAGCGTGTACTAGTCGGATAAAAGGGAGAATTAAAATATTGCGCATATATTTTTTTTTTCCATTCTCAAAGCTTGACAATTCTCATTTCTAAAAAATCAATCCAGACACGGAGTAAGCGTACACGTATATATATTCTGTACGTATTTTGTGGATCTTGAATGAAATTTTGTGATCTTGTGCGAAATTAGGATGAGAATATTTTTTGATGTAGACATTTTTCGATCGATCGGTCTCGAAAATTATACGAACCGGTCAAAAAGATATATATTGCAAACTCTCGACATATCGCAACGGTATACAAAGACACGGCTTGCGCAAATATTGCTTGTGAGTTTCTTCCGGGTAATACAAAATACTTTCGAATTTTTTTTTTTTTTTTTTCGTTCTTTAAGGAATGTTTCATGTTTCTCTCATTCTTTCAGCCTCTCATTCTCTCATACTCTCTTTCTCTTTATTTTATACTATTTTTCTTTGTCTAAAATAAAGAACCGAAATGAAAATGCTATCTCTTGCGGGGTGTACGTAACACGGCCTTTTTTCCCATGAAATTTTTATAAATTTAGAAAACACAGGAAAAAATTTTTTTTTTTTTTTTTAGCATTTTTGTCTTTCAAAAATAATAATAATAATAATAATAATATTTTTTCCTGTGTTTTCTAAATTTATAAAAATTTCATGTGAAAAAAGGCCGTGTTACGTATACCCCGGAAGAGATAGCATTTTCATTACGGTTCTTTATTTTAGACAAAGAAAAATAGTATAAAAGAAAGAGAAAGAGAGAATGAGAGAATGAGAGGATGAAAGAATGAGAGAAAAATGAAAAATTCCTTAAAGAACGAATAAAAAAAAAAAAATGTCACGAGTACTTTTCAAACGAATATCGGTTTTTTTTTTCTTTTTTCTTTTTTTCCTCGTCTGCTTTTTATTTCAGCCATTTGCCGGACCGGAAGACGTGTATTTCGATTCCTTTCCAGTTTTCATACCGTAAAATATCTATACGAAGAAGCCCGTCGTTGCTCTCCTTCATCGATTTTTGGATGATCTATTGGCTATATTGTGACAAGAATTACGAATTGATCGTAAGAACGATGCTCGTCCTTTTTTTCTGTGAAAAAAAGATGCGAAACTTTTAAAAGGTTCTCTTTCGCACGGAAAGCGATCAAATGAGAATGAAAAAAAGAAAGAAAAAAAAAACGGACAACAAAAGCGGTATAATAAGAACGAAAAGAATGCATTTCACAAATACGAAAATGTGAAAGTATGAAGCATAATTGCTATTTCTATGTGTATGATATTTAGATCGTACGGATAGAAACAATTTCCAGAAAAAAAAAAAAAAAAAAAAAAAAAAGAAAAAGATAAACAACCTCTTGTAAAGTAATTTGAGTGCGAAAATTCGGGATGTGAAAGAAAGGTGAGAAAGAGAATGATGAAGAAAAGGGGATTTTCGGGACTTGGGAATCGTAAAAATTTGCGAACGGCATTGTTTTTTCCGTGTAAAAGCGAGCAAATCTTTATGAGAACTTTGTAAGCTTCCTAATAAAATAGCATTTAATCGATAAACTGGCAAATATATCTGATTGTTTGCGGTCTAATAATTTCTGTCTCTATCTACAACGATATTCTCGATCATATTCTCGATTTTTGAGAATTTTTTTATCAATTTGTTAATACGGTCGTATTAACCGTCGAAAGTATCATGGATTTCTCTCAGATTGATTTGATCTTTTTATCATTTATTTTTGAGCCAAAAAAATGCATATACACGCTCGATTAATTCAATTTCGCGTTATCCTCGTTAATTTTTTGACTTGAAACTCCAATTTTTGACACATATATGTCTTTAAAAACTTAAATAAGATGCAAAGTAAGAATTTCGTTAGGCTGATAGATAATTTGGAATAGCGATATTCCAAGTTATTTTTTCTTCTACAAAATTGAAGAAAATAAATATTTATTGAAATTATTCTATTTCGCAATCTAATTAAAAACATAACATAAAAACTATAATATCAATTTCTAATCTTAATTTATTATAAATAAATAATAAATTATTATAAATAATAATAAAATTTATAATAATCTTTAATTATTATAAATATAATATTATAAAATTTTGATATCTAAATTCTTCATTATTAGATACAATGTAATCATTAATTACTTCTCAAAATTAATTAAATATAGTTAAGAGTTAATTATTTGTAAGTTTGATTAATCAATGTCTCTTCATCATTTACTAATCTAATAAAAACCTTTGGAATATTCCATATTTTAAATTATTTTCATCTTCAGAATTCCGAATTAGCAAATTTGAAAAATTTAAAATGACTCGTGTCATATTTTATATTCTGGAAATATTTGCAAAATATAAAATTATAAAATTAAAATGTAAGTGAATAGATTAAATAATTTATTTTAAAGTTTTGAATATATTTTAATTCAATGATTGAATATTTATTGAAAAATTTTTCTAGTGAAAATTAAAATTTTATTTTTCCGCAAATTAAAAATTAAAAATATTAAAATTATAATTTACTTTACACAAATTATTGTCTCTTATTAATTAATAATATTATTAATAACATTATTAATATAACAACATTATTTTTTATAATGTTACAAATTAAATAATGTTAATAGTTTTTTAACTTTAAATTTCCTTCTAGTTTAAATATTTATATCTAAATCTTTATTTTTATAAAGTTTAAATTTTTATTTTATTATCAGCAATTTTTATGTTTTAAATTTATAAGTATATATTTGTAATTTATGTTTAATTAGTTAAAAAACTTTTAATTTATTATTTAATTAAAATTTATTGATAATATTTTTTAAATTTGTATCTAAATTTTTTAAATTGTATCTATCAATTTTAAATTATAATATTATTAATTTATCTGATTTAATTACCTCTGATTAATAAGATTATTCAAATAATATGGAAAATACTAGAAAAATATTAAACTACATTAAAATCAATTGTTATTATATTAGATCATTTTTAATTATTTAATCATATAATCATATATGTGTCAAAATAAAACAATTTTTATAACTATATCTGATCCACATAATTTATTGTGAAAAAATCAAAAACTGAAAATTTTTTTTTGTATACTAGTTCCAATTTTTTTTCTTGCTCTTGTATGTGATTCCTCCAAATATATCGACCAAATAAATATACCCCTACCTTTCGTCCCTTTCACTTTTATTGGATGTCATCTTGGTAACATTGCACAGTGATCATCACAATTCGACAAATAAAAACAGTTGTTTTGTTAAATTGATAAAAAAAAAGACGATGGATAGAATTAATTCTTGTGGTACGAATTCATCGATGATGGATAAACAATTTGAAAAACAACCACCGTTTAAATTATGCTTTTCCAAAGATAGATTGCTTGGCAAATCAAACATACGTGTATCGAAAATCAATGGTAGGTATATTTTTTGTGTGATTTTTTAAAACACTTCAAATATGTGTGATATCATGTGCACTTGTATTTTTCTTTTAATTATATTGACATCGAAGAACGAAATTATTATAAATGAATTAAGATAGTGATAAACTAAATTAATAATAAATAGTGGTATAATTTCACATTTTATTGAACGATCACAAGAAACATCGTATTCGAAAAGATCATCGATTGAAATATTTATAATTTTTCGTAGTTTTTTTTTTTTTAGTTTTCTCTTTAATGGAGAAAATAGAATTAATCAAATTTTTTATTAAAATAATTTCAAACAACAATTATTCTATTATTGAAAATAACAAAATGAAATGTTATTTAACTTTTAAAAATTTTGCTTATTTTATTATAGTTTACCATTTTTTATATATTTTTTTTTATGCGTGTATATGTATAGAAAATTTATTATATTATATATTTTGAAGAAATAAGGAAATGATATATGTGTATAATGAAAATTTACATTCTTTATCTTTTACTCTGCCACAATGGACAACATACTTGAAAATTTCGAGAAAATTAAATGTCTTGTTTTTTTTCTAGTTTTCCGTAAAAGTTTACATTTTTTTTTTTAGACGTTTCTAATTGGCTAATAAAATGATGTAGTTAATCAATCGGAAATTCATTTCAAATTGCCTCGTCCATATCACGCCTTGAATATACTTTTCCTAAAGTATGGGGATGATTGGTGGAAAAGTTTCCCTAGGATTTTTAAAAACATAGTTTTTTTGTAGGGCCAAATCCAAAGTTTCTGATGTACGTAATTTATTGCTTGACTTCGTTTCGAGGATTGTTCGAAAATATTGATTATGACATAATGTAATCAATTATGAAAACATAAACAAAAAACATTCATTTAAAAATATATGTTGCATAAATAAAATTCTAAAACAGTTTTTCTTAAAAAATAGATTTTTCAATTACTATGTATAAATTAATTAGTCATTGAATATTTGTTTCATTGATTGCTACAATTTGATTTATATTGAATTATATTTTATTATTTTATTATTATATTTTAGAAAATTTATTCAATTCCCGTATATTACATTTATTTTTTTCTTTTTTTTTCGAATTTGATAATTTTAACTGGAATTTTATTAAATCTACCATTTTAATTAAGACAAAATTTTTTAATAAATATGAAATGTACATATAATTCAAATCTTTCAATTGCACATTTAACGCAAATAATTTTTTACACATATTTCTGGTGTAGATGTTTAGATTACATATAAATGTTTGTCATTGCTTCATTATTATTATCTCCCATTTAAAATAATCATTATGGATAATACATTGCAGGTGATTTAATCACGCCAAAATATTATTCGAAGTACGAGACTACGCCAGAGAATTTTAATGCGATTGATACGCATGAAAGAAATACAGAACAGAAGGAAAATAATTGTGATTATAGAAAAAGACCAACTATACTTACTAGTTATGCGTAATTTGAATTCTCTTAAGGAAATGAATTACAAATTTCAATTCTGATTTCTTTGTGTTTTAATTATTTTTGCTTTTCAATTTTAGATACGGATGGTGGTATGAACAGGGATTACGACCGATTGAATCTCAACTCGATTTTCGTAAAAAAACAACAGACTTAATAAATTTTGGAATACACACTAATAATGCGGAAAATCGAAAATTTAGAAATTTAAAGCAATAATGTAAAAGTATCTTGCATACGTATTTATATGTTTGCTTATTTTATTTTCTAATTTAAAATGTGTATTCATTCGTCTATTAAAAGTAAACAAAAATTAATTATATATGCAAACTTATCTGGTGAGATTGAAAGAGATTTTTCGATTTTAAGTTGGTCGTTAGTTTCTAAGGAAGCATTTATTTTCAAAAAGCACAGCAGCGCCGAGCGGATATATCAGATAACAACAGTTGCCGCGCAATCAATTTCTTGATTTCCCGCCATCTCGAAATATATATAATATTGACCAATCAGATTCAAGACCAACGGAATATCTCGAATCGTCGCAAGCGATTCGAGCAATTGGAACTTACCGCTAGCGATTGTTTTCTGTACGTACAACCAGTAGCGATTGAAAAAACGGTGTTGTGACGGGATTCCGCCAAAAATGAATTCCGGCGTGGCGGAACACACGAGACTTAGTGAAGATTGCTTGGACAATTCTGAAGAATTTTCACCACCTGAAAGGTAAATTAATTTCACGGCAATCCCCCATTTTTATAAAAGAAGTCCTGAATCATAGCAAACGTCTCTCTTACCTGTTACTCAGGATGATGCAGGTGCGTTATTTCGCGCGCATAGGTAAGGTTAAGAACCTCTGCCAGTGGTGAGTCGTGAATTGTATTCACAAGATATAGTAAATGTTCATTTTTTATCGTTATTTATTAGTTTTTTACGCGAAGTGAAAAAAATACTAGATTTATAAATTTCAAATTTATTAATTGAACATATAGAAAACATTTTTTTTTCCAAATTATTCTCTTCAGATCTAATTAGATTAATTGCTCTATGATTTAAAAAAAATTATTTTCTATTTTCATTCTATTAATTAGCAAATTATTATTTTAATTAGCAAAATTTTATTTTACTTGATTTAATATTTTTTCTTTTATGATATGATAATTTTTTAGAATAGTAAAAAATTGAATTTTTCAATTTATTGTAAAAACTTCAGATATAGAAATATATCTATATATTTCTTTTTTTACAATATTCATTTAAAAAATTTATTAATTTCATATTTTTGTATCTATTAAATTAATTTTTTTAAATAGTTTTTATTGATTATATATCATTCTAATTGTTAAATATTAGTTGCTAATTAAGTAATTTCTAATATTAATAATTAAAAAGTATTCAATGGATTGTAAATATAAATTTTGATGAAAATAAATCTATATTTTTATCCTATCAATTTTTTATTTTATATTTGGAATTATAAATGTTATGTATGTTCAGCTTAATAACGACCTTAAGTCGATTAATCATTTGTAAATATTAAACTGTTTATAATTTAAATTAAATGTAATTTTTGCCAACTGCCATTCTGTATGCTTATGTTCCAAACCTGTACACATTTGTGACACAAAACATACTTGGTTAAGGGAAGACTCTGGAATTACTATGTCAGGACCGCCTTCTTCACCCTGGTGGAACAGGTTGCCTTTTTTATTTTTTTTCTTTATACCAAACTATAATGTAATTAAAAGTTCTTTCAAGAGTACTTAATAATTAATCTTGTTTCTATAAATATGTCTTATAGCAAACGACTACGCCTAGATGACAGTTGTAACAATTTAAATGATACCTTAAATAGTGCTTCCAAAAATAATACAAAATGGTCATATTCAGGAGATGCAAATCTTGTAGAACCAGAAATTTTAGAAGATATGGGTGTTAGTATGTTAGAAGATGAAGCATCAAGTTATGAAAGTACAAAAAAGACTGATTCTCTGGAACGGACAACTTCGCCAATTATTTCAGATAACAGTGGACAATGTGATAAAATTAATAGTTTTCAGAGTCAAGAAAATATTTATAGAGGTTCCAATTTTGATACCGTCAGTATAGATAGGTTTGTGTTTCAATACAATTATGCATTTTTTTATTTATTTTACATGTATTTTATATATTTTCATATATTTTTCTATAGCTTTGAAGCTACTCGAAGATTAGATCACGATCCATATGAATCTGATGAACTTACAACATATTCAACAATTGGAAATGAATCTGGTTATTCTTCTAAAATGGAAATAGATAATTTAATTGATACAAAAGAAACCTTTTCAAAAAATGATCTTAATGATTCTTCTGTAAAAAGTAGTCTTGAACAATTTTATCTTTATAGAAGAAAAAGAAAACCTTCAATTGTTGGTGAAGATAAATTTAACAAATTATCCGATGAAATGATTTTAATGATATTAAAATGGCTTCCAAAGAAGTGTTTGGTAAGATAATAAGTTAATAAAAAAAAATAATAAAAATAATTTATAGATAAAGCAAGAATAATGTTATTTATGTAATTTTATATATATATTTCATGATTATTAATTTTAGGTACGTTCCATGTTGGTTTGTAAACGATGGTGTCAAATAGCACGAGATGAAGCATTATGGAGCAGATTGGATTTAGGCAGTAAAGTATTAAATGAAGGTACATTAGGTCATATATTACCAAGAGGTGTGCAAATACTTCGACTTGCACAAGCAGAAATTGCCGATCCTGTATTTCTTGAGAATAGTGAAGTTCTTACTGATGGTTACATTAGTAAATTACAGTATTTAGACCTCTCGATGGCGGTAATTTCACCAAATGGATTGGCTATGTTACTATCTAAATGTAAATACCTTAAGAAATTGTCTCTAGAAAAATGTACAGTAAATAGATTGTGTTGCAAAGCTATTAGTGATAATAATGATTTAGAAATATTGAACTTAACAATGTGTGACGGTTTAGACATTGAATGTATCAAAAATTTGATGAAACTTAAAAAGTAAGAAAAATTATTTACAATAATATCAGTTATAGAAAAAAATTTAATACTAAATAATTTATTTATTTTTTCCAGTCTTAATGCTGTCAATATGGCTTGGTGTAGTTTAGATACTGAAACTATGACATTACTTTGTAAATCTTTGCCTCCGTCCGTTACGCGTTTAAATATAGCTGGATGCAGAAAAACTATGACAGATGATAGTAAATATAATATCGTATTTAAAAAAAAATTTATGTTATGTCAATTAATATCATTTTTATGTCTTATTTCAGATGTCAAAGATTTAGTAAAAAGTTGTCCAGATATGATAGAATTAGATTTGAGTGATTGTACTATGCTTACAATGAATACTGTTCGTAGTTTACTTGATTTGTCAAAATTAGAACATTTGTCGCTAAGTCGTTGTTATGGTATACCTCCTTCAACATATGTTACATTGGCATATATGCCATCTTTGCTATATTTGGATGTTTTTGGTGTAATACCTGAACCAGTACTAAAAACATTACAAGTTACCTGTGGTGAAACTCAACTTAATAAATATCTATATAGTTCTGTTGCAAGACCAACAGTTGGTGTTCGAAGAACAAGTATCTGGGGGCTTCGTGTTAGAGATTGAATGAAACTGTAACATTTATCTATATAATTAGTGGTAAATAATCAATTTAATACCAAAGGGATATTGAAATGTACTTGTGTGCCTTTCTATTAAGTGTCTTTTTAACAAGAGACTGATCTTATGGTACCAACAAAATAAAAGCAATACATTTTTTTGTATAAAATTCTGTTTATCTTTTTTTCCTATTTTGCTTTGTTTTTTATAATTAAAATAATAATTAAATTATATTAAATTACAGTCAATTTTCAAATTTGTATTAAACAAAACGAAACATAAAAATGAAATAATTTTATTTTCATCACTATTATCTTGCTTTATTTAATAAAAAATTGCTTATAATTAATAGTAAATTAATAATAATTAATAATAAATAAGTTTCAATTGATATTTTTGTATATTAACTTTTATATTTGTTTTGATCTTAAAAAGTATTTACGAATATATTAATATTTTGTAGAATAATCTTAAAAAGATTAGAGATGTTTTAAAAATTTGTGTCTTGTTATGAATGAAATAAATCAAAATATAATGTAATATTGATCAAACATAAAAAAAGAAATAAAATAATCATAAAGAAATTAAATAATATAATGTTTATTATGAAAACATATAATAATAAAATATAATATATAATAATAACTTAAATATACATTTATATATTAAAATGAATGAAATATATAAATATATGAAATTTTATAA